CACAGATAGATGTGTGGGGTGTACTTGATATAGGAATATTAGAAACAATATTGTTCACCTTTGATCATGATAAAATTAAGAATGGCAAATCGGTATAGATACTTATCTGATAGAGCCCGTTTACACCAGTTCTATTACAATGTTCCTTTGGAGCAATTTCTGCCCTCAATCGATAGTTTATTATGATCTATACTAGACAACTAACTATTTTTAAGATTTGCTGAAGTTTGTTGATCGCGCTGTTATTTTAGTCAATGATTACTTAGATCACATTTGCACCTAAAAGCAGCTTTTTCTTCCAACTAAAACGAGGTGTATACAGTTGAACATGTATTGGCCTGCGTTGATGAGCAACCTTATCGTCTATGGACTTGGAAGCCATGAAATCATCCATTTTGTCTCCACCGATATTACCAAAACAAATGAAAAATTTTAGGGTGAATCAACAGCACCTGTCAAACTTATCCTGTAGTTGATGCGATTAAACAGCTCCTGTTTGAGCACAATCGGGGAAATAAATGAAAACGGATTGCGTCGTTTTATTTAGATGCTGTTCCAATTTATTTTATCAAATTTCTGTCGGGCGTCTGCTATATACGCATTCGTCCATCAGTTCCCATTTTTAGTCCAATCACGTGACACAGTTGTTCATGATAGACGCTGACCAATACCCTCCCAGGCCGTTTTGTCCGTGAGCCAGCTTGATCTAGTTTTAGGCCATCGTTTGATCGATTCATGTATTCTCACGATCACTCATCGAGTCGTTTACCCGGTTTCGATCAGCACGCTCTCAAGTGCGTTCCGATTTCGTGTGTCTGGTTATGGACCCCTTTTAATACTATGCTGTAGCGTCACGATTGGAATTCGGTCTTAGCATCGCCTGACTGTTCTCGTAATCGGTTGGTTAGTGCATTAAAAGTTGTCTATCGAAGTGTTGGAAGCCAAGGAAACTCACGGACAACACACATATCTGGAGGCTTGATTGACAAGAGTCATAAATTGCTCTGTTGGAACTGAACTGAAGTTCATTACCATGGGGCACCTCTAAACAGACGGGTATGAACTGGTGGACTGAGTGACCTGTGTGTTGAGCACATTGTTTAGCCTCATTTTTGCACTAACAAGTACAATTGGAATCGCGTAGTGCATGCGATAGATCCAATTTAGGTCTTGTTGACTCCGTATTTATTCACTCAAAAATGCATGAAGAGATTAGCTCAGGTTATTGGTCAATCAAGATGTAACTGGGCTGAGACACCGTCACTGATTTGTGTATGCTGGTCGCCAGCTCGATCGACCGTTGGCTAAGGAAGTTCAAGGGCTTGCAATAGGTGCCTTTTTAACAGAGATCAAGTTACAATGCTATATGCTAATCACTTTAAACATCACTAGTGTCGGATTTCTATTTTCATTTGACCAATCCAGCGGAATCCTGTATTTAACAGTAAACTTGATTTACATCGCAAACGACTGAATCGATTCCAAAAAAATTACGACCATGAAGTTTGACCTCACATCCCTTTCCCCGATTCCAAACTGTTGTTCTTTGGTGTATTCAGATATCGGCCTCGTCGTTAGATCGACATAAACCTATCTGAGTCGGTAGAATATCTTTGGAGAGGGTGGTGGTGCAGTGGCTTAGTCGCCGGCGTACTCTGGACCCTATGGTCCGAGCCCAACCATCACCACCCAACTTTATTGGTAGTCAGCTTTGCTGTCGTCCAGCTCAGGGCCTTATGTGGCTTGCTACTCCAAGTCCAGGGGGATAGATTACCGGTTTCCATCTCTGTACAGGTCTTCGTGACTGTGGGGTTAACCCCATCTACTTTTCATCAAACAGGTGTGTGATTATAAAAGGACAAATCGACTTTTCCCATTGGTTTAAACAAAATCAAGGGAGGTTTAGAGGATTTTGTCAATTTTCTTGGTTCGCTTAACCGTCACATTCTCATCTACCGTCCCGCTGGCTGTGGCTTGGGATCTGACGTGTTAAACGATCTTCTAAACTGCGTCTCTTTTCGAACGCAGCTCACATCGTGGAATTTTAACTGTTCGTCGTCTTCTAACCTTAACTTTAGTCTTTTACAGGGCGAGACTTTGGTCCCATACTTTTTCCCTGTACACAAAACGCCTGCCTGTTCCTTCTAACTTTATTGCCTGCAAGTATTCTGATGATGTGGTTACTGGGTATCCCTCCAGTAACGGTATCTTTCATGCGATTCCTTCAGTTTGTTTCCGTCCTGAGGCCTTATTTTTAATTTTTCTAAATGTGTTGATATTCCCTTCAACCTTAAATCCAGCTCAGATTAACACATTATTTTGGTGACCAACCGGAACTCGTCATTAACGTCCACAGGATTCCCAAAACTGACCCTGTGGAATATTTCAGCGTCGTTCTGTTACACAAACCGTTCCGTACTAGCCATTTGGGGAATTTTGCACAACAGATTTCGTCAAATTTCTTTGTACGCTTTCAGGCTTAGGAAGCTGACTGTGTCCCCCCCCCCACTCTCCAATGAAACTTTTAACTTTGTGGTGCCATGCATCCTATCTGAATGGCTGTACTGTCCCAGAGTCACCAAACTTCTTTCCTGATAAGGCCAGAAACGTTCTGGTTGACTCTTTCGTGATCAAGCGTATCGATACATGCGAACAAATTGATCATAGAACCTCGGGCAACGAAGATCATTGCTTTCACAGCGAACTTCCGGAATCCGTGACAAACCCCTGTACCCGTTCCCACTATAAGCTCATTCCTGCACGCAATACCACATACACAAAAACAGTGTCTTCCCTTATTGGTCGCATTGTGCTTTCGTTTTGTTTCCACCCTTCAATTTCCACTGTATTATCATGAATTAGTAATTCGATTCAGCCCTGGTATAAGCTGGTCGGCACAGTGGTAACACACGCCTTCCACGAAATGGGTCCGGAGTTCAAACCCCGAACAGGACGGTGGATATACACTACTGATGAGCTCTAATAAGAGAGAAACTCGAGTCTGGTGCTTCCAAGTATATGGTAGACCGGATGAACTGCGGACTGTGCGTGAAGGTGAAGTTCNAAATCAATATAAAAATGCCAGAACACAACTAGCAAGTGATTGTGAGTTAAATGTGAAAGCTAAATTCGATCTGACCGATTCCTTGAACATTCGAATCGATATTCTTACTGGTATGTCAGCCGACACAATGAGGTTTGGACGTCACTCACGGGTCTGTTTCAGGGACTCGGTAATTTGCTTAACACAACTCTTTTCTTTGTACCGATAAATTCGCGCTGCATGTGCATTTTGAAAAATACAATTTAAACAATATACAGCTTAGTGAAGATCAGTGAAGCGTGCTTCATGGTATTACGATGGCGGCTTCCACAAGAACTGAGCGAATACACTGCCCTCGGTCTCTGATTGATTGAATTTTTCACTACCTTTCCCCTCCCGAAGAGTCAACAATGTTTTCTTCTAGAGGGTAAAACTGTTCGATCTTACATTTGCGTGGCAACAGAAAATGACAATTGATACCCCTTGGCCCCTCTAGTATGGCAGCTAAAGAAAAGTTGCACTGTCAACAACAAACATCCCAGCTGAGAGAACAAATTTTATTGTTCCTACCAATATCTGTTCTCTGAGTCATCCTCCGGACTGAGTACTTCTCTGTATTATGGCTTCAGATAATATTCTAACATTTGGAGAGGTGGGGTATGAAGTGGCCTATGGTGAAGTCATCCGTGCTTGGGAAAAGTGGGAACTCGATCGCATAATCCGCGTGCTGTAGATTAGAACCGTATTGTGCTGTTCTCGCACTCACACATACACCGGTTCGTTGGTGGCATTACCAGTAAGTTAGTACTCACTGCATTCGTATTAACTGGTCTAGCGGACAAGGTTTAGTAATTTCTACACAGTCTAAGGATGGTGATTATCCTATACGAAAAAAAATAGAGAGAGAGAACGATTCTCCAACAACGAGTCACTCATAAAGACAATTCACGCCTCATGTTTGGCATTGGATGAAATTTCTGAACTAACCAACTAACTCCTCCGCTCCCCCGAACACTGTAAATGACGTAGCCATGTTTGGCACGCTGGAGTAAAAATGACTTGGTAACGGCAGTAGCATAGCAGCCGCAAAACTAGGACGTACACAAATAGGAGTGGCGCGCTGGCAACAGAACGCCACGCCAAGCATATGATACAGCACAAAATGAGATCACTGATGAAGCATACATGAAAAGCGATGACAGGAATAACAGTTGCTAGAACGAAACATTCTGCCATGGAAACAGTCTCGTGTGGCAAGAAATGATAAATTGATCAGGTTGCGCACGGAGACTGAGGAACACGTGAATTGATGAGGTTGCGTGTAAATGCCGGGCTCAGAACTTGGCTATGCAAAAGAAAACAAATTGAACTTTCGACTGAGAACCGTTGTCATTGGTATTCCCCCCCCATGTGTGTGGCTTATGCACGATTTGAATAAAATTGAAAATCGAAAAATTGATTTTTATTTGAAAACAAAACAAACGTGAAACCGGAACGTTCATTTCACACTGTTGGGAGACAATGGGGGAAAATGTTTATTGCGGCTATTCACGTTTGAATAGGATCAACGGATCGAAAAACCATCAGAGGAGACGGGGAGCGGGCGGGGATAGTATAGTCAAACTCAATGATCTAGACATGATAGATTGTGTGTGTGTGTGTGTGTGAAGGAAAAGTTATTATTGCAATGAGTCCACCAGGAGTATGAGAAAAATGAAATGATAAGATAATGTGTGTAATGAGTTCCAAAAGAAAGATAAAAAAAATATCGGTCATGAAACTCCACCCGTAAAGAGAACTTTAACGATGGAGGCGACATCTGGTCGACCATATAACCGGTGTGTGTGTGAGTGAGAACGCACGTATTGATGAGTATCACAGAGATTGCATCTGGATTAAGTAAATGGGTGTGCTCGGGACCTGAGGAATTTCGCGACGAATGCTGGTGCACATGACGTCACGGAAGGTGAAGCATATTTCGCTGGGCCAGATAATTCTGAACGCAATCGTAAACTTTGCGCATTGCTGGCAACGCCTCGTTCAACATTCCGGAACGGCACGTTTCACGATCGTTGTACGGGCTATCTTTTGGTTGACCATCCACGATATGATCTGCCAGATATTCACGCGTAGGCAACGCGTAAACAGCCAAATCAACCGCTTTTCGAACCGCCCATGAATGATACTCGGACAGATACTTTTCATACGCTTCTTTAGTTAGCGTGCGTAATGACACATCTTCGGGTGCTAGAATGATACACGGGAACATGACGCGCGCGGTGTGTGAGGGTTTGTTAAGAGAAATGACAGGAGAATAACATTGGTCGTGTTAAAAAAATAGTTAGAAAAGCGAAACTTCCTAGATCGAAAACCGACTAGTTAAATAGGCAACAGATCATAATGATCAGACAGTAGAAATATTGTCGTCATTATATAAACATAACTAGTTTGATTACACAATACCACACATTCACCAACCTGAAACAAGGAAAATGCAGGCACCGTTAGAAGCCCAACAAAAATGGATAGATGCCAGAAAAGACAAAAAAACACGAGTGAAATTGTTTTGTTTCACACTGTACGCTTTCCTATACATTTATCTTTTTGATGGTTGAGGCGAAAGCTCACGTAAGCGACACACTTGTCACATTCGATTATGAGATATCTTTTTTCTTACAGTATCGAACCACCTATGGCCATCATCCCTCAGAAAAGCGGGCAGTTAGTGAATGGATGTATTTAGGTTTCTCCTCAGCTGTAGCCCTTGACTATACAGCTGCTGTCGTCCGGTTCAATACTACGCCTAACCTATCGGGGCTTTAAGTGGTTCGCCACTCCAAGTCCCAGGGCTTAGGTAGCCGGTTTCCACCATTGAACAACGGGTCCTCGTGATTATGGAGTTCGCCCCGTCTGTTGTTTATCACACTTAGGTGTGTAATATAAAATCTATTGACGGCACCGCGACGTGCCAACCGCAGGTTGTCTTAAATTCAGACCACTGTTCTAGCCGTGCTTCATTTGTATATACAATGTGGTTTTCCGGAACAGGCGATTGGGTGAGCAACACATATGGCCCATAACCCACAAAAGCCACTCGTCTGGATTTGGTGTTATCAAGATTATTGTGCTGTGATTTGATCGCAAGCATAAAGAAGGCTCGGTTGGCATTTACGATTTTGGGACATCGGTGGCGTTGTCGCGAGATTCGGCTGTCTGTGAACGGTTGAGTGTATGCTGCAGCAATTCGCCCAGTTCTACTATACGGCACAAAGACTTTGCCATTAGGAAAATACGAGTCAGGTGGAAAACCGGACGAGTAATGCTGAAGTTAGGCTCAGAGGTTTAGGTAATCGCGATCGTCCACTAAAGCCAGTGGTCGACGTCCATAGATTACGCTGGTTGCAATATGTGCTACGCATGTCACCAGATAAGTTGCCACGGTGAAAAATGTTTTTCGAGGCTTATAGTGGGTGGAAAAAGATCAAGGTCGGCCAACCTAAGGCCCGGAAAGAGGGTGTGCAAACCCTAACCAGGAGACTGGGTCCTGTTAGGTTCCCTGGATGAAAATCCCGGGATCATGGTAACCGGTGGTTGGAGGTACTGAGTGATTTGGCTGGGCATCGCAAACAGTGGCGCTCGTACAACTACTCAGTATTCTTGCAACTCCAGTCTTTATGAACCATCTTCCCCTTGAATTTACTTGAATTTACATTCCAGTCTTCATTCTGCTCTGTCCTCCAAATGGGCAGCCATAAAACAGCAACCAAAACCGGCGCACCAAAGTGCAGGGTTAATGGTTTTAGAAACTGCGACTGATTTGTTCGCACAGTCTGTGGACTTAGACGTGTGTGAAAATTTATATAATACACCAGTACGATGATCGATTCGCATCAACTTTCCAGAACCGTTTTCTTTTCGGGAGAGCGCACTGTGAAATTAAAACCGATAAACATAAACGAGAACTGATGTTGTTAGTGTTTTGTATCTGCGACGGTAGCCCATTGCTATACGATTGATTTTTGCGCATTTTTCATGTGAAGATAGCGAAAGATGAAATGCGAGACAACAGGACACTTGTTATAAAATCGGTACGATAAGTTTGTGATCTTAACAGAGTTGTGTGAGACGATGTCGGTTTTAGCACTCTGACTAAATAGGACAAATAGAATCCAGTCGTTTTTTGCATTTATTGAAGCACTTGAATTGAGAGTGGAAATCTTTAGCAGAAGCGAAAGTATTGATTGGGTGCACTTTCCNGATACAAAATGCGTTTTTCCACTCCGGAGAGCAGCAGTCTGTGAATATACAAATTGGCGAGAAAAACAAACACGTGTTTTTACCATTGTTATTATCTTTTCCTAAATCGTTTAACCGAACGGTGAATAGTTGGTAGTTGAGTTGTAGTAGTGCACATGAAACCCGGATAGCTATGGCAAATTCGGTACCGTTGAGCACCAAGCATCAGGATTCGGCCTATCCAACGCATAAGGAAAAGAGTACTGTCGGAGTTGTTACGTTCTGTATAGACGTAAGACTGACACGAGCATCTCTCCCTTAGCCCCCAACAATAATACAAGAGAGAACAACACCTGAGATTTAAAAGTCAGTGTGTTCTATGATCACGATGCGATACGTAAATATAAGTTTCAGTTTCAGCTTGAACAAGCATTAACCACGCACATTCGTA